GATAAGCTCACAGGAAGACAAACAACTGAAATTCAGGCAGTGTCTGATTTTATTCAACCAATAACACTGAATGTCTGCTATGTGTGAGTCACCTTCCTAGGCAACCAAGGTGGGAGACATTGATCTTAACAGATTGGGAAAGGGAACTATAAACAGAAATATAAACACAGTGGCACAGTGACAGAGGAACAATTAGGGAAGGAATGCTACAGAGCTTAATTTACATATGAAAGGCTTCACTAAACATAAAACATTTAAGTACAGGCAACGTGAACTACAGCAGAGATCTCTTTTACACTGAATGATCTAGGACATGGGTTGGGGTACTAGGCTGCCCAGTTTCCCTTTGCACTGTGAGGCATACAATTAGCACACAGGTGGCTGCTAGAAGGGAGAGCCCTACCTTCTTGGACACCTCTGGCAGTTCTAGGTAGAGCTCTTCTTTGGCCAGTTTGAAGCCTCAGAGAAGTAGGTTGGGACGTAGCAAAGCAGGCAAACCATGCATGTGTGTCCAGGTGTCAAAAACTAAGGTCCCAGCCTTAGAGAAAATAGAACACCTGAGTTCTGAGAATCTACAAGTGATCTCGTGAGGTCTTCTTCCCTGAACAGGGCATGGTTCTTTAGGTCTGAACACGGGCCAGTTTTATTCAGTGAATCCATCATTAGCCCAGCTTCCTTTTCTAAGTGACTACTTACTTATTCAAGAGTCAAGATCCTCGACTCCTTAATTCAGACAATTCACTGCACCCTTGACAGTGATAATTCAATTCACAGTCCCAGTACTCAGGGAATATGGGGCCCCTTTCAGAAGAACTTTCAGAATAGGCAAGACTGCCGGGTGGCTCTAACCACCTGAAGAGGTCTGTGGGTAAGGCCTTACAGAATGGCAAATAGGGAGCTCTAAGCCCAGGGCATTAGTCATTCCCAGCAGAGGTTCAAGCACTGTGCTCAAGTCCCTGGACTAGTACTTGGGGACAATTTCTCCACAGGTCATAAAATATGAGTGCTACAGCTTAGCTCATATTCCTGGGCAGGAGTCCCCCATCCAAAAGGCCTATCTCTCTATGCCACACTCAGCAACCAAACTAGATGGCTGGAAGGGGTTCCAAACAATTTTTTTATTACAATTTATGTATATGTGGGCTTGTGTACCATGGTATGCCTGAGGAAGTGAGAGGACAACCTAAGACAGTTGCTTCATTCTTTTTGTTAAGTGTGTCCTCAGGATTAAGGTCTAAAGTCAAATGTCTTTACCTGCTGAGCATCTTGTCAGCTACCAACTTATAAAACATTTTATTTCATGTGTAGGCGGTTTTGCCTGCATGTATGTCTATGTACCACATACATGGAGTGCCTGAGAAAGAAAGAAAAAAAAAAGAGTGTAGGATCCCATGGAATTGGCGTTATCATAGGTGCTGGGAATTGAACCCAGGTCCTCTGGAAGAGCAGCAAATGCTCTTAACTGCAAAGACATTTCTCCAGCCCTGACAATCTAAAACATTTCCTTTAAACCTTGACCAAAACTTCTAATTCTGAAATAAAAAACAAAACAAAAAGACATCTATCTCATCTGATGGCCAATTGGGGTTTGAGAGGAAAGGTCTAGGTTCAGCCCTATGTACCAAACCTCCTTCAGGGCACTCAAGCCCCACCCATCACACCTTGCTGTACACACCTGCTGAATAAATGAGTCCATGAGCTTTGGGATTAACCTCAGGGGACACCCTATGTGCTATTCCTAACTCAAATGTCACAGCTGAGGTAGACCTTACAGTCTTCTTTCTAAAAGTGCCTTTATTAATGGTCAAGGTTAAAAACAGGAAAAAGCTGGGTGGTGGTGGTGCATGTCTTTAACTCCAACACTCAGAAGGCAGAGGCAAGTGGAGTTCTGGGAGTTCAAACCCCCCCCCCCACCCCCAGGATCCTGACCCACAGGTTGAGAACCACTATCCTAGACAATCAGCCAAGGAGCAACAATAAATTTACAAAGGACACTGCATTGAAATCTCACTCCATTCCTCAACTTGTAAGGCTGTTGTACTTAATGTCATTCAACCACAGTAACTACTTATTAAGGAGTAAGAAGTTAGAATTCTTCTCAAACACCACTCAAATAAGTCTCACACCTTATTACCTACCTCACCTGTTTCTTCTAGAAGGAAAATCCTAGATACCACATGCAACTGAATCACAGTTCAGATTAAATTAACATTTATTGGATATGTGGCTTATCGGGCACATTCAGAGTTTTCACTGAACTCTCTGACACCTTGTAGTTAAAACTGATGAACTGGATCACGCACTGGACAGACCAGCTAGGGATTTGAGCACTCATACCAGAAGCATGGATGTTAATGAGGGATATTTTCTATAAAGGCAATGTACTACAACTGCTCTCAGGGGGAGAGTGAGTGGTTTTGTAAACCAGCACCGCTGCCCATCTCCTGGGCTCAAGCAATTGATTCCTCCACCTCAGCCTTCAATAGCAGCTGAGAATATAGGGGTCCAACAGCAGGCTGTTAAGATTTCTTTGTGTTGCTGGGCATTGGTGGCGCATGCCTTTAGTCCCAGCAATTGGGAGGCAGAGGCAGGCGGATCTGTGAGTTAGAGGCCAGCTTGGTCTACAGAGCGAGTTCCAAGACAGGCTCCAAAGCAACACAAAGAAACTCTGTCTCGAGAAAAAAAGATTTCTTTGTGTTATGCGGCTCCATATTCTTTCTTTTGTTGACTATGAAGTAATCCTAACCTTTTCAGCACTTATGGCATTCACAGGTTTTCGTGTAGTCTTGGTGTTGTTCTTTGCCTGAATGTAACACATGAGGTTCTGGGAAGGGAAAGAAAGCTTCAGTGTCACAGAGGGACCATCTCACAGAGGGACCATCTTCAATGTGGTCTGCCGTCTCCATGTCTAGGAAATACTTGTCCCAGGACTCTATTATCACCACCAGAGTTTTAAGGCAGGTAGGCCCAGGGACCACAGGCTCAGGACTGTGTGGGTGGATAGTTCTGGAAGGGTAGGGGCTCTGAGGAAGGGCTGAGGCCTGGCTTGCTCCCCTCTCTGCAGTGGTATACCAGCATGTAGCCTTCCCTACAAGACACAGGGTTTGGGGGACCCTGAGTGGGGATGGAGCCTTTTGTGGGCTCCAAGAAATGGCGTCCATCTCTGTTTTGTACAATCTGAGTTCTTTCATAGGACAAGAAACCTACTATCAACAATGCCAGCTGTACTCTCCTCCTCAACCCACACCTCAAAGACCAATTCCTCTGTAGAACTCACCACACTCTGACTTCTCACTAGAACATCCCTCACTTACAGGAAAGACAACATAAATGACAAGCCTTTTACTGCCACATCTCCCAAACCGTGTGCTCTTCCCGTTTTTGCCTTTTGAGTGGAGTTTCTGACTTTTCTCCCTTACAAATGAACAGGGTATGTGACAGTCTGATGTTCATAGCTATGGAGCAAATACAAAGACCTGTGGGACTCAAAACTATAACCATAATTCATCAGTACCATGAAGTTATATAGAGCTTCAAACACACCCACCACAGCAGCAGATTCAAACTGGGCAAGATTGTAACATCCAAAAGGAGCCAAGAGAACAAGGCCAAGAGCTGAACAAGCAGACAACTCACTTTAGTTATTGCCAACATAATCTGCTGTGACAACCAGGCCTCTGGGACACATTCCATTTTCTTTCTCTCAAAACAGTTTTGTTCCCTCGAGTATTCTTTACACTCTCCCTGTTTCTTCTGATTCTAAAGCCACGGTCAGCTGTTTTCAAGTCCTCTAAGAGTCTATGTAAAGAAAAAGTCTTTCCTGGTTCTAAACCACATCTTATGAGAAACCCTACAAAACCTTGAATCTTCAGGGTTGGGAGGCAGACTGACGTTTAAATCAATAAGCACCAAGACTTCTAAAACCAGTTAATATTACACAAGCTGAACTACTAGGAATGGAAATACACTGTTATCTGCAGTATACTTTGGCATACATAAAAATAACAGACTGCTGGATGGGTACACAATAAATGATGATATTAACTGTACATTCTAGGTGATAGTACATGGCTGTGCACTGTTAAGTTAACATTTTCTGTATGCTTTTATTTTCTTCTAAATAAACATCGGGATAGAGGTCTTCGAGAAATGAATGACTGAAAATATCTTTCTTCTTATGAGCAGAGGGTAAGAAGAGCAGACACGCCTGCCTCTTCCCACCCAACTCAGGTCAGCAGCAAGGAAAGAAGCAAAGTACCGGGAAGAGTTCAATGTAGTGTTTGACACATACTACAAAACTGATGTAAAAGCTACTGAATGCCCTCCCCGCGCCCCCCTCCCAGGGCACTTGATCCTCACTCCTGAGACACAGCTTCTCAAGTGTGCATGAGAATTTCTGAAGAGCTTACTAAACGCAGGTTTCTGGGCCTCATTCCTTAACTACTCAATCAGATCCCGGGGAATGTCCAGGTCTTACTGATACATAAGACCCCTAAGCTGATCTTCTTCACACCTGTTGAGAGGCCCCAGGGGACCCACCTTCTCCAAGGTACTAGAGAGCTTGGGGCTTCGCCAGCCCACCGCCTTCCTAACGTTCTGCCGGAGCTCCTCGCGGAGCCACGTCCAGACCTGCAAACCGGCGGGGGAGGGAAAGCGACACAGGCTCCTCCGGGACCGCCAAGGTCACCCGCGGGTCTCTGAGGTGGCTTGGAGTGGGGACCCTCCCCGACGGACTGCCGTTCCTCTAGCCTCCATATCCGGAGGAGAAATGACACATACAGCTTTTCTTACAGAAATGCAGAAAGGTGTGGTAAGGATCACCCAAGTGGGCTGGCCCTTCTCCAGGAGATAATCCTGTGTCTGAAGGCCCAGTCGCTCGCGGCCCTGAAAAGCAGTCTCTCGCAGCCCAGCAGCTGCAGCCACACCGAAATCAACTGTTCGTCCCGATTCTGCGTCTCAGGGAGGAACGGACTCCACCACGCTACCCCAGCCCCGTTTACCTTGGAATCCAGGAACCCGAGGCCGGAGGAACACAGAAACCGGCAAGGGTCAGGTCCGGTGCGGCGCTCCGAGCAGCCCCTCTAGCAGCGGGCTCCGAGCGCAGACCGCCCCCGCATCGCAAGGACCCTGGAACTTGTAGTCCTTCTGCGCACCCGCCGCATTCCCTGAGGCGAGGGCCTACGACTCCCGGCACCCACCGCGCGGCGGAGGCGAGGGCGGGACTCCGCGGGCTAGGTCACACGGGCCGAGGGTTTCGCAGCCCAGCCCCGCCTCGCCTCGCCCGGAGGGAGGGGTCCCACCGGAAGCCGCCCCCGAAGTCGCGGAGGCGACTCACGGTCGGTGGAGCCCCTCACGGCGCAGCTGCCGCAACGGCTACCTCATATCTTGTTAAGAGGAGCTGTCGCTATCTCGCCGGGTTAAGAGGAAACGGGTAGGGTGTGGAGAAAAGCCCCAGCGTCTGGCCTGTCGACGAAGGGCGGAGCTTAGCGCCACACACGACGAGCTAGGGTGACGTCGATGGAGGCGCCTTGCACGCTAGAGATAAGCACGTGGGCGTAGCCAGGCCTGGCAGCTGCGGCGAAGGCTGAAGGGAGTTGAGCATAGCGGTGCTTACGCTCCCTCCCTCCGCCGGGCCAGCAGCGCTGGGCACCGCTAAAGGGAGGGGCACCACCCTCTCTCAGGCCGCCCAGACGCTGTGCTTGAAATTGGGAACCCCGCCAGCTGTCCCTGCCCTCACACAGCTTCCATTCTGACAAACGATAAACAAAACACAATTGCCCAGCGCCCCGAAGGAAAGCTAGAGAACTGCCCAACAGAATTTTGGAGTGTTGCCTTTGGGCAGTGAAGTTAGGAAAGGAGATGGGGCGAGGTGTGAAGAAGAAAGAATGGAACTGGCTTTAGATTAGTGAGAACGGAAGGACACTTTGGCCAGGAGGGTGAGCACTGTGGAAGGTAGGCTGGACCCACACTGAAGGAGTTTGGGTTTATTACACATGGAAACTATAACCTTTGACGAGCTCTGTCCTCTTTTCCTTTTGTATTTGTGTGCGTGTTGGGCATTCGTGGAGGGTCTCCTTCCAGCATGTGGATTTTGGCTATCAAACTCAGGTTTTTAGGCTTGACACAAAAATCATCCATGAGCCATCTCACCAATCCTTTTCATTCTTAGGTGATGTTAAATAAGAGCAACCTGTTACAGATATATTTTGTCGGGTGTATAGCGTTTTGCTATTTAAAATCGCCGGGGGGCCGGGGGAGCTGCTGGACAGATGGGTTAGTGGTTCTGAGCACAGGCTGTCCTTTCAGGAGACTAGGGTTCAATTCCCAGCACCCACATGGCATCTCACAACTGCCTGTAATTCCAGTTCCAAGGAATCTGACACCTTTACACAGACATATGTGGACGAAACACCAATGCACGTAAAATACAAATATTTTTTTATAATGGCCATAAGGGTAGGGCTGAATAGCTTTGCAGTGTTTCTAAGTGAAAAAGGCTTGCTATCCTTTGTGTGGATTATACCCAGTAGTGATTATCTTGGAATCGCCAGTAATGCATCACTCTCACATTAAGGAAAAAGTAAAAGCGTTCCCCCTTGGAGTTGTTTAGTCAAGAACAAGTTCAGGTTATAATTCTCTACTTCATGTTTCCTGTGCCGCCCATCCTCTCTGTTGTATGAATCTGAATCTCTGCCTGAAGGCTGCCTTGTGAAAATGTATTAGCTGAGTTTGTATAGGCTTGACTTTAGTTAACCAGAACCAATAATATGTCAGACAATATGTCATTAAACATATGCTCTATGCTGGGTGATGGCAGCACAGCCTTTAATCCCTGCACCCAGGAGGCAGACACAGGCAGATTTCTGAGTTCGAGGTCAGCCTGGTCTACAGACCTAGTTGCAGAACAGCCGAGACTACACAGAGAAACCCTGTCTTGAAAAACAAAAACAGAAAGACACTCAAAAAACTGAAAGGGGTAAACTAATAAAGGGACCAGACCCTCACTCAGCCCCCTGCTTTAGCAGCCATGACAGGCTACAGAAAAGTCATGTAGACCTCTGACTCAGCATTTGACACCAAGAAACTTCAGATCCCCCTGGCCTCCCAGAGCCTAGGGCTAAAACTGAACACAAAGAAACTCCAGACACACACACTGCCCCCTAGCCTCCTAGATACTTGGTTCCTGGGAACTGTTTGGCCACAAAAGAAACTCCAGGGGAGACCAAAACCTCGCCTGTAGTCTCCAGGATACAGTTCCGAAAACTATTGGTATCTATGAACAACAGGCCATCTGCAAGTAACAAGACAAAGCCATAGTAAACACCACAGAATGTTCCCTCTCAGCACTGACCAATGAGAATAATTGGTATTTAATGCCAAAATATGACTTTGAGAAATTCCCCTGATTGTTCCACAAAAAAAAAAAAAAAAAAAAAAAAAAAAAAACAACCAATCAGAAACCAACTGGTACCTACTGCTGTAATCCTGTGATTTTTGCCTTTAAAAACCTGACAGTAGACAGGGAATTCACTTCCTCTAGTGGCTGCTGCATCAGCCAGCTACACGAGGTCATGGTTGGATAAATAATAAACCTTATACATTTGCATCAGTGGGTCTGTCTCTCCCTGGTGGTCTTTGTGGATCTTCACAACTTGGGCACAACAAAAAGTTGTATACTAATTAGTTGACAAAGAAAAAAGATGTAACCAAAGGCTCACAGGAATCTAATCCTATATTTCTCATAGAAGCAGAATTGCTGCCTTTACTAATTATTCGCAGCAACATCATAGAATATAACTACCTCAGATAAACCTATTTGACTATATATGATTTGGCTGATACTTCATGGACTCAGTCTGACTAAAGTACAAAGAATGATTTAGACCAACAGTGGCAAACAGGAGGCTGGAGGGTAAGCACATAATGCAATTTAAAATTTTCTATGAGTTGTAGTATTAGAGGGGATAGAGAGATGGCTCAGCAGTTAAGAATATATAGTGTTCTGGGCTGGAGAGGTGGCTCACTGGTTAAGAATACTGGTTGACATTCTGGAGGTCCTAAGTTCAATTCCCAGCAACCACATGGTGGCTCACAACCATAACCATCTATAGTAGGACCTGATGCCCTCTTCTGGCATAAAGTCATACATGCAGATAGAGCACTCGTATATAAATTAAATAAATTAAAAATATATATATAGTGTTGTTACAGAGGACCCAAGTTCAAGACCCAGCATCCATGTGAGGTGATTTACAATTGCTTGTAACTCCAGCTCCAGAGGATCTTATACCACTGGCCTCCACTGGTACCTGTATGAACATGTACAGACCCTACACAGAATTAATAATAATAAAAATAGCTGCTTAATGAGATGAATTATTGGTAAAAGTTCTTTCTGACAACTTGTGTTCAATCCTCAGCCCCACATGGTGGAGAGAGAGAAGGCTATCCATTTGTTCTCTGACCTCCACAGGAGAACCATGGCACTTCTACCTCTACACAAAGTAAATAATTTAAAACCTTAAAAAATAATACAAATCTCTTTTTTTTTTTTCCTATTTGCTATGCATTAAAAATCTGGGCACACTACCCAGGTGTGGTGGCACATGTCTCTAATTCAAGCATTTGGAAGGCAGAAACGAGTGGATCTCTGAGTTTGAGGCCAGCCTGGTCTACAGAGTAAGTTCCAAGATAGCCAGGGCAATATAGAGAAACCCTGTCCCAAACCATCAAAAAAAAAAAAAAAAAGGTGCAATGGTACATGCTTGCAGTCCCAGCACTAGAGAGACTGAGGCAGGAATATCTTAATTCTAGGCAAGCTTAGGCTACATAGCCTAGCCTGTCCCTAGCAACCTACGGCTAGGGATGGGCTCAGTGGTAGAACACTTGCTTGCCTATTATATGGAGGCTCTGGGGTTCATCCCTAGTACCACACACAACTTTTGTGTGTTTGTTTTCTTTTTGTTTGTTTTTTGAGACAGGGTTTCTCTGTGGCTTTGGAGGCTGTCCTGGAACTAGCTCTTGTAGACCAGGCTGGAGTCGAACTCACAGAGATCCACCTGCCTCTGCTTCCCAAGTACTGGGACTAAAGGTGTGTGCCAGCATTGCCCTGCACAAAATTGTTTTTAATTGAAATAATTAGGAGCATAAAAGTGATACCTTTTTTTTAAATGGGGCTTAATAAAATTAATTTTGATACAACCACATATTGTTTCAAGTATACTGGGTTAAATTATTGTTCCAACATTTAATATAAAAATATCAATGAAACATTTTACTTCACTGTGCCTTTGAAATCTACACCCTATTTTATTATTACAACACACCTAAATTTAGACCAGCTACATTTCAAGAACTACCACATGTGGTTTGTGGCTGGTGTTGTGGATAGCACTGATCATTTAACCAAGCAAGGTATTATAGTCCTGGAAATACACAAAATGGAGTGTGGCCAATCTCCGTTCTCAAAGTACACACAGTCCAGATGGGAAGACTGTGATGGTAGCTTATCTTGAAAATGACAAAGGACTTTTGGAAAGGTAGGTGTGATGGTGCATATAATCCCAGCACTCAGACTCAGGGAGGATTGTCATGAGTTTAAGACTGCTCTGTACCACATAGCAAAATCCCATCTTAAAAAATAACAAATAGAAATGCTTGACAGTGGTAGCACATGCCTTTAATTTCAGCACTGGGAAGGCAGAGGCAAGTGGATCTTTGTGAGTTAGAGATCAGCATGGCCTATAAAGTGAGTTCCAGGACAGCCAGGGCTACACAGAGAAACCCTGTCTCTGGAGAAGCCACACACACACACACACACACACACACACACACACACACACACACACACACACACGAAAGAATAAATAAAACTGCCTATTGAAAAGCAAATGTTCCTTAAAATATTAGTCATGCTGAGTTGGTAGAGCATCAGATTTTTAATTTGAGGGTCCAGGATTCAAGCCCCTGTTGGAGTGCTACTGTTTTTGAGCAGGGCATTGGTGATGAAAGGATGAAAATACCGCCTAACTCTGTAATGACCACTAAAAGTTAGAAATTTTAAAATACT